TGAGTATGAAGTGAGCGGCTGTTCTGTCGTGTGGTGTCATTCCCCCTCCCATTACATTACATAATAGCCTAATGTCTGCAAACTATCACTCAATTGCCGCTCAAGACATGCCAATCGTGATGACCACAATTGCGGACAATTGTCTCCTTTCTCTCTCACTCCTTACCAAGTCTTCAGACTGTCTCTCATTTGAATCAACTTTTCTTAAGAGATGTTATGAATTGAAAGCAATGTTTCATTGAATGCAGAGTTAAGCCAAGAAATGACCGCAAATTACTCGGACTCGAATCGCTTCCTCGGGATGTTGGCCGAAGTGGCCGTCAAGACGTTGAATGCAGAACAGCATCAGTCGCACCACTCGGACGCCAATCCACACAAACGGGTCAGTCTTGAGCCAAGTCTCACTTGTGATCACTTGTTACGCCATACACTTAGCCATAAGTGATTGCAATGAATGAGTTGTCATAAGATAGTCACCAAATGTATGGTTTCGTTTCAGTCCAATAAGAATGTCTTAAGTGTGGAACAAATCCGGAAACTGTCGGACAAAGTATTGGTCGAGTCTTTCAGCGAATTGAGTTGCGATGAAATCCGAAGAATATATCGATTCCGATGTGTATTAATGCCCGAAACGTGTGGACTCGTGTACGAGAGCTTTGCCGTTGAAGACAGGGCTCGCACTTTAATTAGAGACCATCTCTTGGAGCACATCCGCAACGTTGAGCCCAACTTCACGGCCGAGACTCTGAGCGCCAGAAACCGACGTCTTAATGATGGCCACAAAATATGGCGAAACAGTCACTCAAAGAGTCACATAAAACCTGATTCGCAAACGAATAGAGTTTTGAAAAACTCTTTAATTAAGAGTCAATTAAGCGATGAAGACATCTGTAAAGGTCGTGAAAATGATGATTTGACTGCGAGTTCGTTGTCACCTTTGGATCAGAGTTTAGATGATATGCAAGAAGACGAGAATAACGAGAAGAGTTTAATAACCAATAAAAATAGTCGTGAAGATCACTGCTATACTTCTCTGGAGGGACCCAAACATAAGACCATTAGTCCTATGGAGAGAAGTGATGAGAATGTATTGAATAGCATCAGGAAATGTCTGAACCAAACGAAAGTGATCGCAACGCCCGCCTTTCCCTTCATCTATGAACCCGTTTTGCCAAACATATCACAAGTTATTGAAATCGGTTCCACTCTTCATAACAATAAGTCTAAAACAAAGACAAGTTTCGAGACTTTAGATTTGAGTCAAACAGTGAGCCATAATGTTG